TGCTGGAGACGGCTGGGGCCTGGTGCTCGGTCGCAAAGAGTGCAGGGGAAGGAAACCTTGAAATTAAAGCTTGCTGGAGATGGCTGGGGCCTGAAGGGCGGGAAACCTTGAAACTAAAGACTGTTGGAGACGGCTGGGGCCTGGTGCCCGGTAGCAAAGATTGTAGGGGGAGGAAACCTTGAGATTAAAGCTTGTTGGAGGCGGCTGGGGCCTGGTGCCCGATAGCAAAGAGTGCAGGGGGAGGAAACCTTGGAACTAAAAACTGCTAGAGACGGCTGGGGCCTGGTGCCTGATTGCAAAAAGTGCAAGGGGAGGAAACCTTGGAGAATTTTCCAGTATTTTGCAGCATTCGAGAACATTTTTTTAGTTTTATCAAGCATTTTCGAGCATTTTCAAGCATTTCCGACCTTTTCCGACCATTTTCGAGCATTTTGGTAGCATTTTGGTAGCATTTTCGAGCTTTTTCAAGCAATTTCGAGTATTTCAACATTTGCGAACATTTTCATGAATTTCCGACCATGTTGGAAGCAGTCGGGTATTTTCTTACGTTTTAGAGCATTTGCGGGCATTTCTGAGCATCGAGCATTTGCGCGTATTTTCGAGCATTTTTCACCCCTGTCGATCACTTTCGATTATTTTTCAGCATGTTCGATCATTTTCGAGTATTTTGCAGCATTTCTGCACATTTTCGTGGATTTGCGAGCATTTTCGAGCATTTTCAAGCATGTGCGAGATTTTTTAAGTATTTTCGAGTATTCGAGATCAATTTAAAAGCTTTTTCAAGCATTTCCGAGCATTTCTGACCATTTCCGAGCATTTCTGAGCACTTTGGTAGCTTTTCGAGCAATTTCGAGCATTGTTTAACATTTTCCAACTTTTTTCGACCATTTTCGACCATTTTCGGTTATTGTTGAATATTTTCTTGCGTTTTCAGGGCATTTCTGAGCATTGTCGCGCATTTGCGAGCATTATCGAGCATTTTTCACGGCTTGCGACCATTCTTTATCATTTTGGAGCATTTTCGAACAATTTCGAGCATTTTGAAGCATTTCCGAGCATTTTGTGCATTTGCGAGTATTTTCGAGAATTTTCAAGCACGTTCGAGAATTTTGAAGTATTTTCGAGGATTCGAGAGCAATTTTGGAGCTATTTCAAGCAATTTCGAACATTTTCAAGCATTTTCGAGCATTTCCGACCATTTCCAATCATTTCCGAACATTTTGGTAGCATTTTCTAGCTTTTTCGAGCATTTTCGAGCATTTTCGAGCATTTTGTAGCATTGTCGAGCATGTTCGACTTTGTTTCGGGCAGGAAACCTTGAAACTAAAGACTGCTGCAGCTGGGGCCTGGTGCCCGATAGCAAAGAATGCAAGGGGAGGAAACCTTAAGACTGCTGGAGACGGCTAGGGCGTGGGTCTGGTAGCAAAAAGTGCAGGGGCAGGAAACCTTGAAATTAAAGACTGCTGGAGACGGCTGGGGCCTGGTGCTCGGTAGCAAAGAGTGCAGGGGGAGGAAACCTTGAAATTAAAGCTTGCTGGAGACGGCTGGGGCTTAGTGTTCGATAGCAAAGAGTGGGGGGGGGGGGAACCTTGAAACTAAAGACTACTGGAGACGGCTGGGCCTGGGTCCGATAGCAAAGAGTGCAGGGGCGCAGGGGTGCTCGATGAAACTAAAGTCTGCTGGAGACGGCTGGGCCCTGGTGCCCGACAGCAAAGAGTGCAGGGGGAGGAAACCTTGAAATTAAAGACTCTTGGAAACGGTTGGGGCCTGGTGCCCGGTAGCAAAAAGTGCAGGGGGAGGAAACCTTGAAATTAAAGACTCTTGGAAACGGTTGGGGCCTGGTGCCCGGTAGCAAAAAGTGCAGGGGGAGGAAACCTTGAAACTAAAGCTTGCTGGAGACGGCCGGGGCCTGGAATCCGATAGCAAAGAGTGCAGGGGCAGGAAACCTTGAAACTGAAGATTGCTGGAGACGGCTGGGGTCTGGTGCGCCGTAGCAAAGAGTGCAGGGGGAAAAAACCTTGAAACTAAAGACTGCTGGAGACGGCTGGGGCCTGGTGCTCGGTAGCAAAGAGTGCAGGGGAAGGAAACCTTGAAATTAAAGCTTGCTGGAGATGGCTGGGGCCTGAAGGGCAGGAAACCTTGAAACTAAAGACTGTTGGAGACGGCTGGGGCCTGGTGCCCGGTAGCAAAGATTGTAGGGGGAGGAAACCTTGAGATTAAAGCTTGTTGGAGGCGGCTGGGGCCTGGTGCCTGGTGCCCGCTAGCAAAGAGTGCAGGGGGAGGAAACTTTGGAACTAAAAGCTGCTAGAGACGGCTGGGGCCTGGTGCCTGATTGCAAAAAGTGCAAGGGGAGGAAACCTTGGAGAACTTTCCAGTATTTTGCAGCATTCGAGAACATTTTTTTTAATTTTTTCAAGCATTTTCGAGCATTTTCAAGCATTTCCGACCTTTTCCGACCATTTTCGAGCATTTTGGTAGCATTTTCGAGCTTTTTCAAGCAATTTCGAGTATTTCAACATTTGCGAACATTTTCATGAATTTCCGACCATGTTGGAAGCAGTCGGGTATTTTCTTACGTTTTAGAGCATTTGCGGGCATTTCTGAGCATCGAGCATTTGCGCGTATTTTCGAGCATTTTCCACCCCTGTCGACCGCATTTGCGAGCATTTTCGAGCATTTTCAAGCATGTGCGAGATTTTTTAAGTATTTTCGAGTATTCGAGATCAATTTAAAAGCTTGTTCAAGCATTTCCGAGCATTTCCGAGCATTTCTGACCATTTCCGAGCATTTCTGAGCACTTTGGTAGCTTTTCGAGCAATTTCGAGCATTGTTTAACATTTTCCAACTTTTTTCTATCATTTTCGACCATTTTCGGTTATTGTTGAATATTTTCTTGCGTTTTCAGGGCATTTCTGAGCATTGTCGTGCATTTGCGAGCATTATCGAGCATTTTTCACGGCTTGCGACCATTCTTGATCATTTTGGAGCATTTTCGAACATTTTGAGCATTTTGAAGCATTTCCGAGCATTTTGTGCATTTGTGAGTATTTTCGAGAATTTTCAAGCACATTCGAGAATTTTCAAGTATTTTCGAGGATTCGAGAGCAATTTTGGAGCTATTTCAAGCATTTTTGAATATTTTCAAGCATTTCCGAGCATTTCCGACCATTTCCAATCATTTCCGAACATTTTGGTAGCATTTTCTAGCTTTTTCGAGCATTTTCGAGCATTCTCGAGCATTTTCGAGCATTTTCGAGCATTTTGTAGCATTGTCGAGCATGTTCGACTTTGTTTCGGGCAGGAAACCTTGAAACTAAAGACTGCTGGAGACGGCTGGGGCCTGGTGCCCGATAGCAAAGAGTGCAAGGGGAGGAAACCTTAAGACTGCTGGAGACGGCTAGGGCCTGGGTCTGGTAGCAAAGAGTGCAGGGGCAGGAAACCTTGAAACTAAAGACTGTTGGAGACGGCTGGGGCCTGGTGCTCGGTAGCAAAGAGTGCAGGGGGAGGAAACCTTGAAACTAAAGCTTGCTGGAGACGGCTGAGGCTTGGTGTTCGATAGCAAAGAGTGGGGGGGGGGGAACCTTGAAAGCAAAGACTACTGGAGACGGCTGGGCCTTGGTCCGATAGCAAAGAGTGCAGGGGCGCAGAGGGCGTGGAGGGCGCGGAGGGCGCGGAGGGCGCAGAGGGCGCAGAGGGCGCGGCGGGCGCGGAGGGCGCGGAGGGTGTGGAGGGCGCGGCGGGCGCGGAGGGAGCGGTGGGCGCGGAGGGCGCGAAGGGCGCGGAGGGTGCGCAGGGCGCGGAGGGCGCGGAGGGTGAGGGTGCGGCGGAGGGCGCAGGGGGCGCGAGGGTGCGGCGGAGGGCGCGGAGCGCAGAGGGCGGAGGGTGCGGCGGAGGGCGCGAGGCTGCCGCGGAGGGCGCGGAGGGGCGCAGAGGGCGCGGAGCGGTGCGGAGGGCGCGGTGCGGCGCGGAGGGCGCGGAGCGGCGCGGAGGGCGCAGCATTTCCGAGCATTTGCATAGCATTTCCGACCATTTCCGAGCATTTCTGAGCACTTTGGTAGCTTTTTCCAGCAATTTCGAGCATTGTCCAACATTTTCGAACATTTTTCGACCATTTTCGACCATTTTAGGTTATTGTCGAATATTTTCTTGCGTTTTCCAGGGCATTTCTGATATTGTCGCGCAGTTGCGAGCATTATCGAGCATTTTCCACGACTTGCGAACATTTTTGATTATTTTGCGACATTTTCGAGCATTTTGAAGCATTTCCGAGCGTTTTCGTGCATTTGCGAGCATTTTCGAGCATTTTCATGCATGTGCGAGATTTTTTCAAGTATTTTCGAGCATTCGAGATCAATTTTGGAGCTTTCTCAAGCATTTTCGTACTTTTTCAAGCATTTTCGAGCATTACCGAGCATTTCTGAGCACTTTGGTAGCTTTTTCGAGCAATTTCGAGCATTGTTTAACATTTTCCAACTTTTTTCGACCATTTTGGACCATTTTCGGTTATTGTCGAATATTTTCTTGCGTTTTCCAGGGCATTTCTGAGCATTGTCGCGCATTTGCGAGCATAGCATTTTCCAAGACTTGCGACCGTTTTTGATCATTTTGGAGCATTTTTTGAACATTTTCCGGCATTTTGAAGCATTTCCGAGCGTTTTGTGCATTTGCGAGTATTTCGAGAATTTTCAAGCACGTTCGAGAATCTTCAAGTATTTTCGAGCATTCGAGAGCAATTTTGGAGCTTTTTCAATGCATTTTCGAACATTTTCAAGCATTTTCGAGCATTTCTGACCATTTCCAACCATTTCCGAACATTTTGGTAGCATTTTGTAACTTTTTCGAGCATTTTCTAGCATTTTGTAGCATTGTCGAGCATGTTCGACTTTGTTTCGGGTACCTTGAAACTAAAGACTGCTGGAGACGGCTGGGGCCTGGTGCCCGATAGCAAAGAGTGCAAGGGGAGGAAACCTTAAGACCCCTGGGTCCGATAGCTAAGAGTGCAGGGGCAGGAAATCTTGAAACCCAGATTCGGGCCATAGAGCCTCTTCGCAGAGCAAGCAAACGGGGAAAAGCTTAAACTTGAAACCTAGATTCGGGCCATAGAGCCTTTTCGCAGAGCAAGCAAACCTGGGAAAAGCTTAAACTTGAAACCCAGATTCGGGCCATAGAGCCTCTTCGCAAAGCAAGCCAACCTGGGAAAAGCTTAAGCTTGAAACCCAGATTCGGGCCATAGAGCCTCTTCGCAAAGCAAGCAAACCTGGGAAAAGCTTAAACTTGAAACCCAGATTCGGGCCATAGAGCCTCTTCGCAAAGCAAGCAAACCTGGGAAAAGCTTAAGCTTGAAACCCAGATTCGGGCCATAGACCCTCTTCGCAGAGCAAGCAAACCTGGGAAAAGCTTAAGCTTGAAACCCAGATTCGGGCCATATAGCCTCTTCGCAGAGCAAGCAAACCTGGGAAAAGCTTAAACTTGAAACCCAGATTCGGGCCATAGAGCCTCTTCGCAGAGCAAGCAAACCTGGGAAAGGCTTAAACTTGAAACCCAGATTCGGGCCATAGAACCTCTTCGCCGAGCAAGCAAACCTGGGAAAAGCTTAAGCTTGAAACCCAGATTCGGGCCATAGAGCCTCTTCGCAGAGCAAGCAAACCTGGGAAAAGCTTAAGCTTGAAACCCAGATTCGGGCCATAGAGCCTCTTCGCAGAGCAAGCAAACCTGGGAAAAGCTTAAGCTTGAAACCCAGATTCGGGCCATAGACCCTCTTCGCAGAGCAAGCAAACCTGGGAAAAGCTTAAGCTTGAAACCCAGATTCGGGCCATATAGCCTCTTTGCAGAGCAAGCAAACCTGGAAAAAGCTTAAGCTTGAAACCCAGATTCGGGCCATAGAGCCTCTTCGCAGAGCAAGCAAACCTGGGAAAAGCTTAAACTTGAAACCCAGATTCGGGCCATAGAACCTCTTCGCAGAGCAAGCAAACCTGGGAAAAGCTTAAGCTTGAAACCCAGATTCGGGCCATAGAGCCTTTTCGCAGAGCAAGCAAACATGGGAAAAGCTTAAGCTTGAAACCAGATTCGGGCCATAGAGCCTCTTCGCAGAGCAAGCAAACCTGGGAAAAGCTTAAGCTTGAAACCCAGATTCGGGCCATAGAGCCTCTTCGCAGAGCAAGCAAACCTGGGAAAAACTTAAACTTGAAACCCAGATTCGGGCATTAGAGCCTCTTCGCAGAGCAAGCAAACCTGGGAAAAGCTTAAGCTTGAAACCCAGATTCGGGCCATAGAGCCTCTTCGCAGAGCAAGCAAACCTGGGAAAAGCTTAAACTTGAAACCCAGATTCGGGCCATAGAGCCTCTTCGCAGAGCAAGCAAACCTGGGAAAAGCTTAAGCTTGAAACGCAGATTCGGGCCATAGAGCCTCTTCGCAGAGCAAGCAAACCTGGGAAAAAGCTTAAACTTGAAACCCAGATTCGGGCCATAGAGCCTCTTCGCAAAGCAAGCAAACCTGGGAAAAGCTTAAACTTGAAACCCAGATTCGGGCCATAGAGCCTCTTCGCAGAGCAAGCAAGCCTGGGAAAAGCTTAAGCTTAACACCCAGATTCGGGCCATAGAGCCTCTTCGCAAAGCAAGCAAATCTGGGAAAAGCTTAAGCTTGAAACCCAGATTCGGGCCATAGAGCCTCTTCGCAAAGCAAGCAAACCTGGGAAAAGCTTAAGCTTGAAACCCAGATTCGGGCCATAGAGCCTCTTCGCAGAGCAAGCAAACCTGGGAAAAGTTTAACCTTGAAACCCGTTCGGGCCATAGAAGCCTCTTCGCCAGAGCAAGCAAAAACAAAACCTTGGGAAACGCTAAATTGAACCAGATCACTCGGGCCATAGCCAGGCCTCCTTCGCAAAGCAAGGCAACTGGGAAAAAAAGCTGAAGCTTGAAACCCAGATTCGGGCCATAGACCCTCTTCGCAGAGCAAGCAAACCTGGGAAAAGCTTAAGCTTGAAACCCAGATTCGGGCCATATAGCCTCTTCGCAGAGCAAGCAAACCTGGGAAAAGCTTAAACTTGAAACCCAGATTCGGGCCATAGAGCCTCTTCGCAGAGCAAGCAAACCTGGGAAAGGCTTAAACTTGAAACCCAGATTCGGGCCATAGAACCTCTTCGCCGAGCAAGCAAACCTGGGAAAAGCTTAAGCTTGAAACCCAGATTCGGGCCATAGAGCCTCTTCGCAGAGCAAGCAAACCTGGGAAAAGCTTAAGCTTGAAACCCAGATTCGGGCCATAGAGCCTCTTCGCAGAGCAAGCAAACCTGGGAAAAGCTTAAGCTTGAAACCAGATTCGGGCCATAGAGCCTCTTCGCAGAGCAAGCAAACCTGGGAAAAGCTTAAGCTTGAAACCCAGATTCGGGCCATAGAGCCTCTTCGCAAAGCAAGCAAACCTGGGAAAAGCTTAAGCTTGAAACCCAGATTCGGGCCATAGACCCTCTTCGCAGAGCAAGCAAACCTGGGAAAAGCTTAAGCTTGAAACCAGATTCGGGCCATAGAGCCTCTTCGCAGAGCAAGCAAACTTGGGAAAGCTTAAACTTGAAACCCAGATTCGGGCCATAGAGCCTCTTCGCAGAGCAAGCAAACCTGGGAAAAGCTTAAACTTGAAACCCAGATTCGGGCCATAGAGTCTCTTCGCAGAGCAAGCAAACCTGGGAAAAGCTTAAACTTGAAACCCAGATTCGGGCATTAGAGCCTCTTCGCAGAGCAAGCAAACCTGGGAAGAGCTTAAACTTGAAACCCCGATTCGGGCCATAGAGCCTCTTCGCAGAGCAAGCAAACCTGGGAAAAGCTTCAACTTGAAACTAAAGACTGCTGGAGGGCTGGGGATTTTGGGGTCTTTTGGGCTCTTTTGGGCTCTTTTGGGGCTTTACGGGGCAAGGGTGTAAGGGAGGCGTAAGCAGGGGGGGTTGGGTAAGGGGGGATCGGGGGCGTGTGAGGGGAAGAGGGTGTGCAGTGGGGGTGTTGTAAGGGGGGTGTGAAGGCGCTTTATCGGCGGGTAAGGTGGGTGTATCGAGGGTGCGAGGGTGTGAGGGAGGTGTAAGGGCGAATGGAAGGGGAGAGCCTGGGCGGTGCTATAAGCAAATGGAAGGGGCTTAGGCGGTGCGATAAGTGAATGGAAGGAGGATCCTGGGCGGTGCTATAAGCAAATGGAAGGGGCCTGGGCGGTGCGATGAGCGAATGGAATGGGGGGGCCTGGGCGGTGCTATAAGCAAATGGAAGGGGCCTGGGCGGTGCGATAAGGGAATGGAAGGGGGGAGCTTGGGCGGTGCTATAAGCAAAAGGAAGGGGCCTGGGCGGTGCGATAAGCGAATGGAAGGGGGGAGCCTGGGCGGTGCTAGCACATGGAAGGGGCCTGGGCGGTGCGATAAGCGAATGGAAGGGGGGGCCTGGGCGGTGCTAGAGCGGTGCGATAAGCGAATGGAAGGGGGGAGCCTGGGCGGTGCTATAAGCAAATGGAAGGGGCCTGGGCGGTGCGATTAGTGAATGGAAAGGGGGAGCCTGGGCGGTGCTATAAGCAAATGGAAGGGGCCTGGGCGGTGCGATAAGCGAATGGAAGGGGGGTGACTTGAACGAGGAGAGCGGGTGGTGCAAGGGGGGGTGGTGCAATTTAGGTAGATTGAGCGTTTGAGCAATCAAGACAGCTGCGCTATGGTGTTGTGTAAGGGTATAAGGGGTGTGAAAAGGTGTGTAAGGGAAGTGCAAGGGGGGTTTTAGGGGGGGCGTTTCGGGGCGTGTGAAGGGGGGGTGTAAAAGGGGGCGCAACGGGGGTTCTAAGGGAGATGTAAGCGGGCTTTCAGGGCGTGCAAGGTGTTGCAGGGTAGGTGCAAGTGGCTAATTAACATGCTCCAAAATGCATCAACATGCTCGAAAATCTTTGAAAGTGCTCGAAAGTCCTCCATGTTGTTGAAAACTGCACAGAGCTGCCTTACAATATGCAAAAATGCCTGTCTTCTGGCCTTTCTGGTGTAAAATGGAGGGTGTCCATAATCATCGATTTCGGGTACGTACAAATCCTGGGGTCTCGTTCTTT